CTCGGGGGAGGGGACGGGGGGGGGGGGGGCATTTTTGGGGGGTTTCTCTGGTTGTCTGACGATGTCTAGGCGGTCTGACGGTATCTCACAAACCATCCAACCGATGAGAAAAACGCGTCCCCGAGCGCGGTCTTTGGAGTGTCTGCCCACTGCCACAAGGCGGGGGCCTGGAATTCAAAGGGCCACGCTCTGGGAGCAGTTGTTGGGGGCTCTTCCGATGCTCCGAAGATGCATTCTGAAAATCGAGGGTAGTTCGCGTGGTGTCTCTTTTTTGTGTTCGCTCTCTCTCTCTCTCTCTCTTTCTTGTGTTCTCTCTCTCTCTCTCTCTTTCTCTCTCGCTCTCTCTCTCTCTCTCTCTGTTTTTCTCTCTCTCTCTCTCTCCCTCTCCCTCTGGTCCCTGGGAGGCTGTCAAGTGTGGCGTGGTTTTCACAAGGCAACTCACAGGCGGAACGATACGTTTGACGCCGTCACTTGTGAGCTTGTGTTTGCAAGTTTGGTGTGCATGTGAATGGCTCTGCCCATTTAGGGCGGCGAAGCCGATGATGACGAACGTGACCCTTCCGATTGGCAAACCGATAATTGCATAGTAGTGGTGGTGGTGGTGGCGGTGACGGATGTGGTGATTATGCAGGGGTGGAAAGGGAGGAGGATGGCGAACATTTTCAAGGAAAGGAAGCAGAGAAGACGAGTGCCGTCGCATGCGACCCGTTTCCCGAATGGACCGCGCAAATTAGCCGACGCTGCTGGCCGCCCGTGGGTGCATCCCCCTTGGATGTCTTCATTGCTTTAGATATTGCGGCACAGTGGCGTCACTTGATTTCCCAGCCATTTAGGCTCAAGGCGGGGAGGCGTTAGTTTGCCATACAAGTTGTTTTTCTTGCGCGATGGCTCCAAAGGGGCGCCGCCCCAAGTAGCGGACCCTCAAGGAGGTGCTGGAAGCTCGCCGTGAAAAGAACAGGGAAAGACGCGAGCGACACTCTCAGAAGCGCGTGCCCGATGCTAGCGCGTCTCGAGAGGGAGCGCAGGAATGGGTGTCGAGGCTCAGGAGTGAGCGAAACCGTCGCCCTCTTCGTGGTGTTACTGCGCATGTTGGCCGCGCGCTCAGCGTTCAGTCGAGATGTCGACAGGGACGTGCGTCGAAGACGGCGGCGGTGGCCACGGGCTCATACCACAGCAGGGGCGTGAGCAGGCACAGGATGCGCGAGGTTGTGGTGAGTTCGCGCGGGCACCATAATTCAGCAGAGGTTGAAGCGATCTGGGAGGAAGCTTCCCCTGCTTGCATTCCCGACGAATCAGATGCATCTCCCGAGCGTTCTGCTTCTGAGCACAGCTAGCAACAAAAAGGAGTTCGGATGCGCTGCTGGGTGCGTGCCACTGTGTATGGATGCGCTCTCGTGTATTCGGCTGAAGTCGCGACAGGTGCGAACGCACACGCGCCTGATCACACCAAGGTGCACCACGCATGCATTTTACCACGGGGTTGCCATCAAGGGTTACATGCATTGAAACATTACACGGAGAGCTCGTCTTGCGATGCTGTCGCTTGGAGTGCGCGCGCTGCTGCTCGGCGTGTCGCTAGGAATGTGATGTTGCGCGCTAGGCTGTACAAGCAACGTGCAGATACACGCGCGCGAGCGCGCATGTCACCTTCACCACAAGCCAGGTTATTCAGTAACGCGCGCCCTGGTGGGCACACGGGCGCACGTGCAAACACGCACGCCTGAGGTCTGTCACCTTCTCTTTGGTTCGAGACAGTCCGTGTGGCAACTATACAGGTTAAGACAGATTGAGCAATTGTGCATCCAACTCGTCCTGCGAAGTTGTCTTTCGAAGTGGGCGCGCTGCTCTCGTGCGTGCCGTTATGCCTGTGCTCTTGCGTGCTAGACTGTAAAAGCAACGGGTGCAGCCACGCGCGCGCGGGACCACGCACAAATGCATTAGGCATGTGCACCTGCACCGCAGGATAGACATGCATGACCTCAAAGGTAGATATTGGCATGCCCCCTCGCATCTATATCTATAGAAAGAGAGAGGAAGAGAGGGAGAGAGAGGAGAGAGAGAGAGAGAGAGAGAGATGAAGAGAGAGAGAGAGAGAGAACGGTAAACAACATAGATGGCTGTGACACGCTTCGAAGCGCTCCTAGAAGCCTGGGGGGCCCGGGCCCTGATGCTCCTCCTCTGGCGTCTGGACAGCATCTGGGCGCCCTCATGACCGCCAGAAAACCCGTTCGCAAGGCTTGGCTGCGACAGGCTTCCACCTGGCTCCAGTTCAGATCCGCCCTCTTCCTCCCGCCTCCTCCGCCTCCCCTTCATTCTCCCCCGAGACTTCTGGCGCTGGCCAGCTCAGATTCAGGGGTAGGGGATTGCTATGTGCATTCCCCCCGTAGCGTCCATTACGACGGGGGGGGGGTGGGTCAGACCACAGCATGCTTGCGAACACTAAAACATGCCTGTCAGCACCACAGCAAGCCTGCGATCACCGCACCATGCTTGCTGGGGAACCGCCCCCTCCCCTCCCCCCCCCCCGCGCACTCCGTACCGTTACGGAGAGGGGGGGGGAGGGAGGGGCGACCCGCCCGCAAGGGACGTTTACGGACTCACTGGATAACAAAAGCAGTGTCCAGTCCAGCTGAGGCTCAGGCTCCTCTGCAAGCGAGAGCCAGGTCGGTGCAACATATTCGCAAAAGCCCAATCGGAGGACAGCTCCCGAAAGCCGCGGGAGCACAGAGCCATCCCACCCTTCCTCCTCCTCCTCCTCCTCCTCCTCCTCCTCCTCCTCCTCCTCCTCCTCCTCCTCCGCCTCCTCCTCCCTCCCTCTCCTCCTCCCCCTCCCCTCCTCCTCCGCCTCCTCCTCCGCCTCCCCGCCTCCGCCTCCTCCTCCCCTCCTCCTCCTCCTCCTCCTCCTCCTCCTCCTCCTCCTCCTCCTCCTCCTCCTGCCCCGGAGGGGCACCCCCATATGTGGGGTGCCGGGCCAAACTGCCCCGTGGTGCAGGCGGGGAGCACCGGGCCTTCGGGGTCCAAGCCCCCGCACCCGGGCTTTCCTTCCCGGGGGGCCGCCAGGTCCCGTGGCCTCCCCCAGGGCGGTGCGGGAGTTCACTCCCCGCACTCGCCGCCTTGGGGCGGGACTGGCGGTCCTTCTCCCCGTCGTGTCGTGTCGTTGTCGTTGTCGTCGTCGTTGTTTCGTGGGTCCCGGGGTCCGGGCCCTTTTTCTGCCCTGCCCCTTGGGCGCGCGGGGGTGGCCCTCGGTTCCGTTCGGTTGGGGCCTCCCGCCTGCCCGTGGGGCGGGGCCTTTTCCCCGTCCCGCGCGGGTGGTCTCGCCCGTCGCCCGTGTGGGCGGGGCGCCGCGGCCGCGCCGCGCGGCCGCGCGCGACGGCTCCGCGCGGCCGATGCGCGGGTGGGCTGGCGGCGGCACCGCAAAAAAAAATCCTCCTCCTCCTCCTCCTCCTCCTCCTCCTCCTCCTCCTCCTCCTCCTCCTCCTCCTCCTCCCCCTCGCCCTCGCCCTTTTCCTTCCTCCTCCTCCTCCTCCTCCTCCTCCTCCTCGTCCTCCTCCTCCTCCTTCTCCTCCTCCTCCTCCTCCTTAACCTCCTCCTCCTTTTGTCCTTCCGCATCCTGTTCCCTCCTGCCTCCCTCGTCCTCTTCAAGCCTCTGGTGCTACAGTCACCCTTTGCAAGCACGCGAAAAGGTTCACGGCACTTTCGTCGCACTGCGAGGTGCCACGCGGCGACACGTACGAGTGACCTAGGCAAAAGTGACCTTTTGATGCGCGGCGTGCTGGCCGTTGCGCGCGTTGCGACAGTGGCGGCCTGCGACAGTGGCGCCCCGTAGTGCCCCCCGAAAGACGCGCACCAAAAGTCACTCTGGCGAAGGGCCACTATCACGTGCAGCCGAAGCCCTGAGCGGGCAACGCATGCGGGCTGAAAGACCCAGCGTCAACGGAAGCGTTGCCGTGTCACGAGCAGGTTGATGCTAGCAGCGCTAGCAGCAAGCGTCCAATAGAAACGAACATGATCACAATTTCCGCGACATGGTACCTCTTGCGCGCAGAGTGCGTCGGTAATTTCCTGCTCTGCGAGGGGCATTGCTCTCAAACAACTTGCCAGCGACCACCAGTTGCAATCACTAAGTGCTTTCGTAGTCAAGTGTTTCGGCCTCCCTGGTTGATGCACCGCTCCGCAGCATGACCCCTTGCAAACAGTTCGTAGCTTTTGCAAGCGTGTCCAACACAGGGGCCCAGAGGACCAATTGCAAAATGCTTTGGTACGCCATGCCTGGCGAACTCAAATAGGGAGAACACGCTACGGTCATACCTCGAACTAAGACGGGCTGGCTGCGGTCGCATTCGCTTTTTCCAAACCCACCCAGAGGTGATCTGGAGCAGGCGGTGTTCGTGCAAGCGGCACGCCAAGGCCGCGCAATCACTTGTTAACACTTTTATAAGAGGCGTGTGGAATGCGCAAGCAGGCCCGTGTCTGCGGCCAGGAGGTCGCACTGTCCAATAAGACAACTACCACGCCCTCATTTCTGCAGCTCCGCCGCTCCTGAACAGGAGTGCGCGCGAAACTCATGCACACTCACACACACACACACACACCTTTGCACCAGACGCACTCCACCCGCAGCGGGAGGATCGCTCTCACCGCGGCAACTGCAGCTGAAAACCATGGCCAACCTGTCGCTCCTGACCATAATGACATGAAAACCCGCGCCCAAAAAGCCGCGAACTGTGAACCATTCCAGGCTGAAGTCATGTCAACCCCGTCGCTCCTGAACAAGGCAGTGTGGCAGCAACCTGCAACAACATTTTTGCATGATTGATCGGGGTCCTGTGGGAAGCGGGTCCTGGCAAACCCCCGAGTAGTTTATTACAATACCGTCCCCATGCCCAGGAATGCACAAACAGCTTGACAATGTGAACAAAACGGCACAGGACCACTTTTCCTCAAGATCCTTTTTCTCCATTGGGATCATTATTCTTTCCTCCTTCCATCCCCAGGAGCTCCTCGAAACCAGCATTGCGCAGGAAGCCATGGATGGCAGGCGCTGGTATGGCCAGCCGCAGAAAACTGCCACGGGTGGCCCCGGTGATGCTGCCACGGCTGTCGACCATCGAGTGGATGGCGATGACCTGCGGGCCGGTAGGCGCATGCCAGAAACAGGCCCCAATATGGAGCATGAAGGAGCTGACAGAAACATTTCACCATGTAGTCGGCGCATCATGCTGGTTCAAGGCCCTGTCCTCGCTACAGAGAGAGCGCGTCTCACGGGCGCTCGCCTTGGGAACATTCGGCGACGCGTTTCGAGCCCGGGGTGGGCCCCCCCGCAACACTCGGCGCCGTCGATCAAAACCAGGGGGACTCCCCTTCCACCCCCCGCCCCCCCCTCCCAACCCCCCCCCCCCCTTCCCCCCCTCTCCCAAGCGGGATGGGGGGGGTCGTACCCGCGGCGCCCCGCGCTGGCGCCGGCGCTGCGGCCGGGCCAGCAGCCCCGACGCGGGACGCAGCGAAGAAGCCCCGGACGCAGCTCAAAGGGGGAGGCCCCCCCCCTGGCGCGGCGACGGAGCGGGACTCAGCGGACGATGACCCCCCCTACCACCACCCCCACCACAACCACCACCACCACCGCCTCAACCACCCACCACCACCACCAACCCACCAACCACCACCACCACCACCACAGCCACCATCACCACCACAACCACCACCACCACAACTCACCATCACCACCACCACAAAAACCCACCACCACGAACAACCACCACCACCACAATCTACCACACCACCACCACCGCCACAACCACCACCACTACCAGCAGCACAACCCACCACCACCACCACCACAAGCCACCACACCACCACCATCACCACCGCCACCACCGCCACCACCACCACCACCAGCACCTCCACAAACCACCGCCACCACCACAAACCACTACCACCACCACCACAAACCACCACCACACCACCACCAAACCACCACCACCACCACCTCCCACCGCCACCACCACCACCACCACAAACTACCACCACACTACCACCAAACCACCACCACCACAAACCATCACCACACCACCACCAAACCACCACCACCACAACAAACCACCACACCACCGCCACCACAACCACCACCACCTCCGCCTACGCAACCCGCCACCACCACCCACCTCACAACCACCACCGCGTCCTCGGTCGACGCTCCCCGCCGCCCCGCCCGCCGCCGCACAAACGCGCCGAGGGAGGGAGGGGGGGAGGTTCGAACCCCTCTACCCCCCACCCACCAAGCGACCACAGAACACGCTCTTTCTCACTACGCCAGCCATGGACGAAGTCGATCGCCTCCGATTGAAAGTTGCGATGATATCACGAATCAGAACTTAACACGCACGATCGGGAGACACAGCCTGTGGTCTGGGCTTTCACCTAGGACAGCCAGCCAAATTAGCGCGCGTGAGCTCGCACAAGCTGCATGTGCCAGGAAACGCTGCCTGCAGCGGAACGAGCAATCACGTTTCAGCCGCTTGCATGCGTCAGAGGCGGGTCGAACGATGAAGGGTTGGCTAGACGCACCAGCCGATGACAGTGTACGCCCAGTAAGAATCTAAAGAAAGACTAGGTATTATCCTCAAAGCCTAGGGCCTAGGATGCCTCTGGCGATTGCCGGATTGATTTGAAGGAGTGTCTGAGGAACTCGCATCATGGTCATCCCCGGTGCGTGAGAAAATCATGCCCCCGATGGCACCTCAACGCCGCTTCCAAGCTAGGCTGGAGTTCGAAGAAAACTTCCAAACTGGTGCTCTCGCACGAAATGTCCTCGACAAATCGGCTCCGAAGCCCGCTAACGTGGCCCCCGTGTCCAGAGCTGGGTCGGGATGCGGGGACGAGCCCCGAAATGCCACTCTCGCATGAGGTTTGCTCTAGACAAGCGCGTTCAACTACTCGCAAAGGAACTACTCGCAAATAGTCTGGATCCGCCGCGGGGCATGCACGATCTATTGCATCGAGGCAAACCTGTGTTTTTGTCTGACGTTTACTAGTAGACACTCTGCGAGTAGTGGAACGCGCTCGGTGATTCTCGACAGATTGGCTCCGAGGTCCCACATCGCGGTCCCCAATCGCGCCTCCAGACACCGTTGCCAGAGAGCCCAGGGAACTAGAGGACGAGCGCCAAACTGGCGCTCTCGCACAATGGGGTCCTCGACATATTGGCTCCGAGGTCCCCCATTGTCCATCGCGGCTCCCACTCGCGCATCCCGACACCGTTGCCAGAGCTTAGATGATGTCAAAAACTCCGGGGACGATATTTTCCGGTTTCAAGATCGCAATGTGTCAGTGTTGATACCATATGCTTGTGTTTTGCGATTCCAATTGATGGTCTGTCGTTCGCGCCGTTTTCGGTGCAGCTCCGCTCTGTACCATAATGTGCTGCTTTGGGCAGCCGACTCTTTTTTTCGTTTAAGTTTTCCGAAAATCGAAAAGTTGAGGTCGGGACAAAAGTCCCCTTCGCTGTTGATATCAACTAATTGCCAGAGAGTCTGGTGAACCCAGACGTGTCCCTCTCGCACGAGAGGTCGTCGCCCCCTCGGCTCCATGACCCCTGGCGCTCGAGAGAAGGAAGTCCCCCATCGAATTCCCCCACACGCCATCGAGCAAGCCCATGCCTCGACCGATTTCGGAAACCCTGAAGCCAAAAAACGCTGTCATCTCTTCGGGCGCATCTTTTATCTCCTCGGCTAAACGCAAGAGTGCCCCGCGGAAAGCGTGACCTTTGGTGCGCGACTTTTGGGGGCTGCGGGGAGGCCCAGAGCGAGCGCGCAAGACGCGGCTATCGTATCGCGTTTAATCATCTGTGGACCCCAGTGTGTCCACACCAAAGGTCTCTCTGGCGAAAAATCACTCTGACGCCGACTTCTGCAGGCTTGCGCTGTCGGAGCCGCCCTCGTCTTACTTCCGCGGGCTTCCGCCGACCTTCCGCCGCCTTCCGCCGAGGAAACAACGACCACTTCTCGATCACTCGGAGGCGCTGACCTTTCTAGAACGCCTCACATACAGAACCTCCTGATCAAACGACAGCCGCTGGCTGATAAACTGGGCAGAGCGCTCGATAGCCAGTTGTAGAGGACTCCTAGACAGGGTCCGAGTAGATGGGGTCGAAGGATCGCGCGACATCGCCGATGTATCGGCGACGACGGCGGTGCATCGTCCACATTGGCGTGGAGAAATTCGGGCTCCACATCGAGCCGCATCCCCTTTGTATCGGCGATGCGGCGAGATCCTCCGACCACTAACTACTTGGACCCCATCTGGGAGGCCTAGATGTAGACATAACCTACTTATCAAACGCAGAGCCGCTGGCTGATACATCGGGAAGGGCGTTCGATCACCGGTTTGGCCTTCGCCGCGGCTTCCTGTCCCCAACTCGGGGGCGGGGTAGCCCCTGCAGTGGAGCTCGTCAGAGATCGGGCTGGCCTGAGACAAAATAAAAAAGCAGACCTGTCAAGCACTGATCATTCGATCCAATTCCAACCGTTCTATCCAGTCCCATGTGCACGGTTTCCCCCGGGGCCGTAGGCGACCCGAATAGGAGGAGGAGGAGGAGGAGGAGGAGGAGGAGGAGGGAGGAGGAGGGAGGAGAGAAGGTGGAGGTGGGATGAGGACATATAGTAATATGGAGGAGGACGAGAGGGAGGTAGGAGGAGGAGGAGGAGGAGGAGGAGGAGGAGGATGGAAGAGGAGGATGAGGAGAGTGATAGGGGAGGAGGAGGATGAGGCTGAGTAGGAGGATAGAGGAAAAAAGGGGCGGGAGGAGGGAGGGAGGAGAGGAAAAAAAAAAAAAAAAATAAATAATAAAGAAAGAAAAAATAAAAAATAAGAAAACAAAAAGACAAAAAAAAAAAAAGTACCCACATATAGACCCGCTGCCCACAACCCCGCCAATACCCCCCTTCCTCTCTTTTATTGTCTTCCTGTCTGCTGTCTGGAGTTGAGGAGGCCGGGTCGCCTAATTAAACCCTTCAGAGAAACCCTCCAGTTCGAAGGCAGGGTAGCGCATGGTACCCTGGGCGCGATGATGATGGCAATCTATGGGTGCCACGTGCGACCCTTCCCTGGAACTGGATAGAACGGCTGGGACTGACCCATGCTTTGTCGCTCCCTGTGCCGGCCAGCCCTCAGCGCAGTTCGCAGCCTTCGCGCGAAGAGCGGCGACGACCGCCAGAATTAGGTCGGGCATGTCCTCCTACAGGCGGGTTTAGGGCGAACGTTAGAATGTAGGAAAACAACACATGCAAAACAAACAAACAAACAAAAAAATCCAACAAAAATCGAAAAATCGTCCCCGGATTTTTTTTTTACGATTTGCTTTATTTTCCTCCTGTAGAGGGACATGCCCGACTCAACGCCAGGACGACCTCTCTGCCCACGAACGGGCCGCCGCTGGCAGCTGCACCCGCTTCGGGCCAGCTCGCCCGGGCCCGTCGTGACGGCGTGCCGAGGCCAGCCAGGCGGAGATGCCCCACCGGGAAACGAGTCCTTAGGCAGCCCAACGAACCACGACGGTGCCCCTGAAGCGCCCCGCGCGCGTCCGCGCAACTGGGCCCTCGAGGCGGACACCCCCGACTCGCCTTATCCGACTTACGGTAGCTGCTTGCTCCCCCCCAGAGATCCGATGCCGGATTTTGTCCAATACGGGGGTTTCCCCGGAAGTCTCGAACCCATTCCCCAGGGCTGGTTTTTTCCTGAATGAGTCGTTTTTGATGGTCCCGGGGCATGGCGAGGGCCCTAGAGCCGAAAATCAAGAAAAAAACCTCCATTGATTTCTCAATGCGTTGGTGGTCTGGCCCCCCGCTCTGCAGAGAGGCGAGGTGGGGAAACGGCTCAGGGCGAGGGCACACGCAGCGGACCGGCGGCACACGCACACGCACACGCACACGCACACGCACACGCACACGCACACGCACACGCACAAGCACACGCACACGCACACGCACACGCACACGCACACGCACACGCACACGTACACGCACACGCACACGCACACGCACACGCACACGCACACGCACACACACACGCACACACACACACACACACACACACCGACAGATCGGCGGTGGGCCCCCCGACAGCGAAGCAGCGCGTTTCTGGGCGGGGAGGGGCGTTCGGGCCCTGATCGGCGATCGCGGGTCGGG